TGGTGGTGGTTGTAACGCTCACAGTCTCTACGTATATATTTATATATTATATATTTCATGCTGCAGACGCGTGCAGTATGACTTGCATGAAGCCCGGTAGGCTGGTTTCATTGCTACCCCCCGGGAGTCGATTCAGAGTGTTGTGTGACTCCGTACATGCTCGTATACTCGTTACCCGTACGCTCTTACCATAATATTACTAGTAGTAAAAGGCAGTTTCTCTTACATGACCCCCCCTCCCTCCGAGGGGGGCGCGCGCACCTCTAAGCCGTGCCAAGGGTGGGTTGAAACAAGATGCGTCTCTCGATTCTGATAACGACACAGCCTCACAGGGATGAGTTAAATGGGGACGACCTAATGATACCTCGGAAAGGATGCCTACACGTACGGCGAGTACGTGTATGAACGTGTTTGATGTAGGCACTTGTGCGCCGTGCCGAGACCGAGACCGAGTTATCCTAATAAATCCGCAGCGCGCTCTGTCCTATTGCAAAGGTCTGGGAAAGAAGAAAAAAAAAGGCATACGCTGCACGGGCCTCTCGCTTCACATACCACGGCCCACCCACCAACAGTTCCGTGTCAAAGGCCAAGCCCGGCAGGGTGGTCAGGCGCTCCTTTCACCCTTGTCGTGTCGGTCGGCTTTTGCATCCTCATCATCATGGGATTTTTTTTTCACAGCCCTTTCTGTATGTTAGGTATGCATGTTAAAAAAAAAAAAATTGTGTAAAAAAAATTGTGTAAAAAATAAAAAAGTGCCGTGGAGAAACACGAGAAAGACGACCGGCAGGCAAAGAGACCATATTCCGTCTCCCCGTCCGCCTGATCCCTGCACCGCTTATTGTTCCGCCTGGATACCTTGGTCGATATATCGGGGGAGTGCATGAAAGGACGGCTCGATTGGTGGTGATCGGGGGATGCTTCTTACTCGTAAAACTCGTACACCGTAGTCACACATGCAGTGATGAAGAAGAAGAACGGGCATCGGGTATGCGTCTCCGGGCGGCAGGCACGGACTCTGTGGATGCCCAACTCTCCCTCTCCCTCTCTCACTCGTAGCTGTATATCACCGGTGCGGCGTGTGACCAGAGTACGGGAGGACGAGTTTCGATAATCGTACGTCGTACGGCGTCTTCGGGGGACTAGGGTATCATCGAGTAAAAGGACCTGTGTCTTGTGCTGACTTGAGTCGTCGTTGGCGGCTAGATGCTCGGCAGCGCCTCGCGGGCTGTTGGTCTAACGGACGTGTAGGCGGGGAGGGTGGTCGAGTGAGGGTGAGCAAATGCAACGTCACTGTGCGTTTGCGACGTTTAGCAGAGTGCCCGGAGGAGCGGCGCGGGGTGGCTGTACGTGCAGTGCAGCCTTGTAGCAGCAGCAGTATGAATCTGTGTGACCCTGTATGTTGTAGTCTGTAGTATTGCTAGCATACAGACATGTTAGCATGACGGCCGTCAGACCTTGCGAGCAATACAGCGTAGTTCTGAACGCCTTTGCTCTTGGGATCGTATAATAATAGTCGTAATACATGGATATGGTATCAACAGTTGGTATTGCTACAGGCACTAGAGCAGTACATATAATAATACGTCGTACGAGTGTTACTCGTAGCTGTAGGCGTACGTCGTACATGGGCGTGCATGCAGTCATGGCAGAGTAGTAAGACTTCAATCTCGCTAAAATCATAGCGGAAAAAAAAATGCGTAATAAGTGATGGGTCAAGGTTGTTGGTATTGACGTATTTTTGCTGGCGACTCCGTATCGTAGTAGGCTGTGAAGCTCGTAGTAATGTCAGCAGAGCTTGTGTAAGTCTCTCTCGTACCTTTGACACTCCCCGGCAAGTACTCCGTACAGTGATCTTAATGGAAATGCTCGTACAGATCTGTACATGTACGAGCTATACTACCTGCCAGCATCATGTTGAAAAGGAGGCGAAAGAAGGGAGGGAGCGTGTGTGGGAGAGGGCTCGATTGACGGCGCTCACCGCCTCTGTCACATGGCCGCCTCTTTATGTCGCCAGTTGGTAACTGCTGTTGCCCTTCTGGTGTCTCCAGAATATCCGATGTAATTCAGTCATGACATTCAATGCGCTCTTGCTGGTCAAATCACTCGCTCCACTGCCACCCACATACGTACGCCACAGCTGGGCGTGCTGTAATGTTTATCAAAAGAAGGAGCGGGCCTTCCAGAACCGGCCGTGGTGAATCGTTGCATCTGGACAAGTTGGGAAGGACCAGCCCACCAACCCACCAACGCTCCTAACGCCCCTAACGCCTCCAATGCTTTTTCAACGGCTCGTGCAGTCGGTTTGCGCACTCTGCAACATTACTGCAACATCGCCGATAATACTACGACTGCTGCCGCTAGTACTAGGTAAGTACTAGTCAATATGTAATAATACTAGTAGTACTACTGGAGTACCAAAATGCGCGTCCTCGTACGATAGACAGCATGCAACGGATACACAGCGTCATACGTATTTGCCTTTTATTAGGTATTATTTGAAGGTGCCCTATAATCTCCGGACAATAGCTTCATGCCGTTCCATCGTGCTTTCCTTTTCTTCTTTTCTTCTTTTCTTTTTTTCCTTTCCTTTCTTTTTTTTCTCTTTTCCTTTTTCTTTTTTCCTTTCATCTTTCATCTATTTTCACCTTCAGCGTCTAGTCCCCGGTCGATGCGCAACCCTCGACCCCTTGCCCCCTGTCCCTGTCCCTGTGATCCCCCAGCTTGTGGTTTTTTTTTGGTTTTTTTTTTTCCTGCTCTGATACCTGCACGATTGATTCATGTCATCATGGGCCAACACAGATGATATTACTCCCAAGGCCCGCCCACCATAAATGATACAAGGTCAGTACGCGCTGTAATGAGTATTGCTGCGTACAAGTATACGACGTACCCGTGCAACGCCGGGGATGGACGTGCGTCGGTCCACGTCGTACGAGAATATACGTGTGTGTTGCTTCTACCTCAGAATGTGCCTGTACTCCCTTCCAGCCCACATGACGTGGGATACTGGCACTTTTCTTCTTTTTCTTTCCTGCATATTCTCTCTCTCCTAGAACACATACGTGGTCGAGGCATATGCACAAACACAACATACGAACAATAGGCAGTACTCGTGCTAATATTACGCAGTACGACAGAAAAGCGGTCTCATGCCCAAAATCCTCAACTGCCTTGCCGCGCCATCCCATTCTGCTTCTAGCTTCTTGCTTCGAACATACGCCAAGGTCCACCACTCATCCACTTTTCGCTCTCGTCCTACCCGACGCACCGGCGCAGAACCACGCCCCAAGCTACCGAGTACCGTAGTACGGAGGCGCTGGTACGATGAGGTACAGGCCTCAGAGTACAGGGTACTGTACATGTACTTGTCATCGCACCATCGTCTCGCTTGGCCATGACTATCTCACTAGCACCGCTACTCGTGCTGACCTAGTACGTATATGTACAGATATAATGCATCGTCCATGTACCGCTGTCGTCCACACCCCAAGTCCACGCCCCAGGGCCACATCACCCCACACGGCCGCAGCCCCATGCTCTCTATTGTAATTCTCCAAAAGCCCCATCCCGTCCCATCCCATTCCTTTGGCCCTTAAGTCCTTTGGCCCCTTCTACCGACCCGACAGTCTGTACTTGAATTACTGTGTGAGAGATGATAGAATTTCCCATGCCTTCAGATATCCAAAGCCT